GCACACTCAGCTGCTGTATATCTGCTCAAAAAGTCAGACCTTCTTAAATACATTACACATCTCTCTGCTCCACTTTCCGCTTAAACAATTGAGTTCAAAATTTTCTTCAAGATAGTCTATGTCCTGGGGCAGTATCTAAAAAAACAACTTTCAGGACTTGGGACTGTTGCAGATCTCCCTGCCTCACGCACCACCTGAAGGAGGCATTTCTACTTTCCCAGTAGGAAAATGAGATCATGACCAGGTAGGAAAATCCCCAAGCTGAACACTGTCAAAACCCTGCCCTGCAGAGTCCTCCCATTTGGACTGAGGGAAGAGAAGAACACCTGTAACAAAAGCAGTGCTTCTCAGTAGAGGGTGTCGTGGTAATAACAGTCAGAAAATTATGCGTGCAGCACCAGGGAAGTGCAGCGACGCTGCCCATCCTGCAGCTACAGGTGCAAGTGCTCCTACTGCTAGTAGGCAGCACCCTGTTCTGCATAGCTCAACCCCATTTTGAAGAGTACGGTGAACCACCTGTACTGATACAGCTAACGCTCTTTGGAAAACACTACCAGACCTGCCGAAATGTTGGTGACCCTCTACTGTCCCCCTGCACTGACACAGCCCTGCATCGCTTACTTCAACATAAATCACTCAACATCAAAATGACAGGTGAAGAAAGGAAAGGAGGAACCTCTGCCTTCTCAGGCTTGCTCCCCCATCTCCACTGGGGATTCCTTTACTGCAAACAGCCCGAGTATTATTGCCATTTACAGTAGCAATCACTCCGTCCCCTCCTCTCCCACAAACCTGCTGATATTAGCACTGATCATACTAACAAGCCTGTGGGTTTTATTACCACTGATACTAATAATACTGGACACATTACGTCTGCTCCCGCCAATAACAGGCTGCAGATATGATCCCTGCTAATGCCGATAATACTGGGGGATATTATCTCTGCCACTGTCGGCACTGCAGATATTATTGCTAGTAATGCTGTCAAATACTACAGATATTGTCAGGGACCGAGATTAATAATGCTGAGAATGTTACAGCACCAGCCTCACTGGAAGACGAATCCCAAATGAGAATTTGGGTCTACAGAGGAAGTCTGTTTGTGGCCTGCTGTGGAGAGAAAGAGCTATCTCTAATAAGAGTGGTTTTGTAAAGATCCCAAAAGTTTCACCCAGCTGGAGATGCTGTGGTATGCAGGGAACAGTTTGAAATATGGTTTTCATATTATCTAATCTATCTATCCATCCATCTATCTATCTGTCCTTCCCTTTCTCCCCATCTCTCCCTTTTTCTCCTTATACAATGCTCAAGACTACAGTATGAGTGATACTAATTTTTTGTTAGTGCCTCTGGGTCACCCCAGTTCTCATCCTTTTAGCTATCAGTCAGGGGTTATGGAACAACAGAAATCTTTGCATATTATTTTTCCCCTTTATCCTTCTAGACTTCTTATTGCTGCTCCTTAATCTGACAATGAGCCTGCTGAGCTTGGCCTGCCATCACAGCATAGTACAACATTAGGATCGTGAAGAGCCAGGAATTCCTGTTTCCAGCTGTGCCTTGATACTGCAAGACCCTCGGTGGTCTTAGGAAGGTCATTACATGCTGCAGGGCCACTTCTGCCTCTGGAAGATGGTGGGTGTAAGTGGTGGGGAAGGTCAGAGGGAACTCACAGCAACATTGGCTGTGCCCATAGACTGCAAGCAATGGCACACACTGTGCTACACAAGTGGTGGTGAACTTTTTTAGCCAAATTATTTAAAAAATCGTAGGAGACCAACTCTCTGCTTTGTCTAATCTGTCACAGAAGTCAGAGGGTTTACAATCATTGGTCAAAAACTGAAACAAAAAGAATAAATGATCTTAATAGGGCAAATCCTGACCATCCTTCCCAGGCACTCACCTGAGGAAGACACACTGAGTTTTGAGGAATGACTTGCGATCTGACAGTTCTTTGTTGTGACTAGCAGACACTCAGAGCTACCTCCCTGCTCGCTCTCTCTCAATGCCACAGTCTTCCCAGGCCACCCTTGCAGTTGCAGCCAGCAGATTTGGTAGGTTGGGATTTCCCCTCTTCCCTCTAACTCCCTGTGAGGGGGACACCTGCCTGTCAGCGTCCATTGCTGAGCCCACCTCATGCATCCGTTTGGCTCCTTCTGTCCAACTCGGGAGTTCTGCTACATCATCTTGACACATAATTATCTCTCCTCTTCTTAATCATCTGTGCTACTGTCTAATGTAGGCACCAGCTGCAGCAAGGAGGACCTGGGGGAGGGGGTGTGCTCAGATAGAGGCTCTTCTGTCTTTCTCCCACCCTGTTCCCCACAGCCATCACAGAGGTTGCTAGCAAGGTTTTCAGAACTGGGGATTCAGGAGCAGCTTGGTACTTCCCCCCTCTCTGCTGAACTGCATTCCTCACAGAGGAATCCTTGCAGCAGAGCTGGTCCAACAGAGCGGAAAGAAGGAGAGAGCAGTGCTGCTCCTTCTGCCTCCTTTAGGGAACAGCCACCCCCAAAATGCTGGGAAAGTAGATGTGCATTGGGAGCTCCTAAGGGCTTTTCAATGTGAGAATAAACCCTGCAGTTAAGAAACTGCAACAAAACAGTGCTCAGAAGCTCTGGGAAATACCGAGAAGGTGTATGCATCCAGCATGAACATGAAAGAAATACCTGCACTGGATTTCTTGTCAGGCTTTCCTAATCCCCATCTCAGCTAGGAATAATCAGAGCCCTCAGAGCTACACGGGAGATTGCCCAGGAGTGAGTGCAGGTCACTGGCTGTGCAAAACCTCCTCTTGGACCCTTCTAGCCTTAGGACCGAGCCCTGCAAAGTGAAGATGTCCTTCAGCATTTCTTAAGGCCAGTGTGAGCCCAGATAACACAACTCTTGGCTAGGGGTGTTCAGCAGCTGGCAGGGGGTCCCATGCAAGACTTCTCTGGGACAGGAGCGCGACATCGCCCTGCAGCAGGTATCTGGGATGGCAGGATGAAGGCTGTTCTCTAAGGCAGTTGCAGCTGTGTCATGTAACTGCCACCTAAAACTCTGAGGGCTAAAGACGAGCAACGTCTCCAGGATTGTCTGGTACCTTTTTGATTCCTAGTGGGATATGTGGGCTCTTGCCCAACAGCGGGGAGTTGCAGAGTGTTGCTTGCCCTTCATAAATCAAATCTGGGATGAATTAAGGACAGACACAGAGTTGTTCTTACTGTCAATATATCATTGTGAAGTGTCACAGTCTTAGATGGCTGCTTGGTTGTTTCTGTGTTTAATTGTACTGCTCCAAAAAAACTCAGGTTCTAAGGCTGGAAGTGACTATGTGGCTGCATCTTATGCAGAGAAGTCTGCATCATCCACAGACTATGTGGGATGATCTTTCCAGGTATTTGGAAAAAATAGCCACTAAAGCCAGATTGAACTGCTTCATTTCAAAATGACATATGGAGCCACCATGTTGAGAGCTGGTGATCACCATGCTGGACTGTATGAGAACAGGGGTTCACAAAAACCCCAGATAAGTGCCAAGAGATTTGCACAACCACTAGAGAAACTTGTTACTCAGTTTGAAATGTCGCTATTTCCTGTATATGTAATGATGGGAAATGCTGGAGGGGTTTGCAGTGATTGCAGTCTCTTATTCCTAACATTTTTTGACTTTGAGGCATTGACTCAACCCTTCCATTGCTACACTTTTCTCTTAGCTGGGCCCTACTGCCATCTAGCTGGGAAATGGATCTTCCTCTGGGGCCTGATCCAATTTCCAATGACATCAGCAAAAATCTTCCCATTTGCTTTAATAAGAGCTGCACTGGGTCCTTGCCTCTAGTTTTACTTTGTATTAGGGAGAAAGGGGTCATGATGATTGCCTTTTTTTCTTGGGATTATTGTGTTTATTTGGATCAAAAGCTTACAGATGTGAACCTCACCAGAACCAATGCTAAGAAAATTACTAGCAAAACCCCAAAATGCAGCATCTCTCACAGGAGAGCTTTGTCTTCTCACCACGTATCACAGAGAACCTTCATGTTCTCTTGCACAGCACAGCCTTGGGGTTACAGCACATGCAGCACACTGAGCCACCTGCTAAGAGGTCCCCGCACGCAACAGGCAACAGTGGAAAACAACATACTGAAGGCAGGGCTGAACCGAACAAACTGGTCAGGCACTACTCTTAGAAAATTTCACCTCCTGGCCCTCAATTTTTGAATGCATCAAATTAAAAGAGCAAGATTTAAGAAAAAAAGTTTACAAAGCCACCATGAGAGCACCAAGACCTTACCCACCCCTCCTGACTCAGCCTATCTAGACTGGAGGCTCCAGCTTTTGGCTCATTTCAGGATTCACTTTGCCCTGAGTCCTTCCTAGCAGGTAGGAAGGAAAAGGAGATAGCTTAATCCTAATTCCTTAGAGCCCTAGTGAAAGGCTTAGATAACAACCTTAGGGCCACAGTACTCAGAAGACCTCCTGTTCCGCTTTCAGACTGTTGCAAGCATGGCAGTTCTGCTGTGGTAGATGCTACCCATTGAAAACTGGGCCCTTATGATCACCAGCTAATGTAGCTCATGGCACATCACAGGGCAGGAACTTGTTTGCAAGGGGAATGAAATGTAACTCCCACATTGCTGGTGCTTCTCCGAGATGGCATTTTGTTTGAAAACGAGTGAGTCGGGGAAACCACGTTTACCCGCAGTTCAAAGTCCGGGCACCTGCTGGCACCTGGGGAGTTCAGTTCCAGCCGTTTCCAGCAGTGAATGAACTTGGGATCAGCTCCAGCAATGGAGACGGCTCTCTGCCTGCAGAGCAGATGTCTGGAGATGCAGCCTGTCATGAAAGGGCCTCGGAAGAAGAGCATTCCAAGCCAGCAGGGCAGTGGCGGGGAACTGGTCTCTGTTGCTAAAACTGATCTAGCCCCTGGAGCAGCTGCAAACCTTGGCCTGAAATTGGAGCCTGTACATGGGGACAAAGAATATAAAAGGGAGGATAAGCTTCTCCCCTCCCCCTACCTTCATCACGTTTCCTCTTCTCGCCATTCGACCGAGGAATCCCCAGGATCCCGTTAATGGAGTAAGAGCCCACTGGATCATTGGAGGCACTGGAGACGGGAGGGGATGCTGTGCTGGGCACTGGACAAAAGGAAAACGGAAAAAGGGCCATGAGGAGAGGAGCACAGCACTCGGGGATCCCCCAGCTGAAAGCTACACATGCCACCAGTCTCATAGGAAAGCCTGGGCCCTACGCAGACTCCCAGTCCCTCACACTGAAGGACTCATACTCGCTCTACTGCTAATACTCCGTTCCTATACCATAGCTCCACTGCCTTTCAGTACAGGGCCATTAATAACAAGCAAGTGTATTCCATCAAGAAGCTAAACCTTGTTGTTATATCCCAGTTCTGAGCAGGCTTCCCAGTGCGTGCCATGGTAACTGAGTGCAATGCTGCATAGGCCACATTCTCTAGTGACTTCCTAGTGTATCTGTATTTTGCCAGATCATTCCCTCTCAGCATTTTTACACCAAGAGTGCACGTGTTCTGTCTTAGCCAGACCAGCCTCTTATGTGTCCACCCAAAATACTCATTGAAAAATTACCTTCTTAGCATAGGTTAGAAGCACTTCAGTGTTGGGACAATAAATTCAGTTCCCTATTAGAACAAATAGTGAGTTGGTGATACATACTCCAACCCAGATTAATAAAAATCTAGTGTCTTCCTTTTGCACTGACCAATGTCAACTGGCAGACTCCTCCTGCCACTCAGGGCTGTCCAAGATTGCTCATGAGTTTCCAATATATCAGAAATGACAAGTCATGCAGATTATAAATGATCACTTCATGATAATCAGGGCTTTAGAGTATAGAATAAGTAGAGCTGTGCATCCAGTAGGCATGCCCATTATGTCCCAGCATGCCCCAGTAATGGGAAGAATATCCCAGTTCTCTTACAGGCCACTGCCCATCTTTCAGCTCATAAAGCACTGACCTGAAGCAATCAATACCTCCAATACAAGCCTTCCAGAATGGAGCAGAACCTGTCAACACTATCCGATGTAGACCCAGACTTCCCAGTACATCCCAGAGCAAGGAGAGACTCCAGTAGCAGCACTCACAATCACTATTCCAGCTCAGCCAATGCATTCCCTAGACATTGCACTACTTTTCCAAGAAGGAATAATATCTGCCAACTCCATCTGTTGTGGTCAGTGATTCCCAGTCCAGTGAGCAAGTCCAGATTAAAAGGGCATCCAGAAATGCTCTTCCATACTGGCCCATTAATTTCATTGTGGTCCTGAACACAATTCATGTACAGGATTATATCTGCCAGCTCTATCCCATGTAAACCAGCACTTCCAGTAAAGCCTTGTATAGCAGCTGATTCTCAGTAACCAACAGTATCTAAGACAGTGTCTTAGGCCACGAATAAGCCACTGTATTTCACCATATCACAGAATACTGCATGTTTTTTCCTGCTCTGAATTGTTACTGGATAAAGCTATGCAAGCAACAGCAGACATATGCACCATCCAGCCTACAGAGCGAAAAGTACCTCATCACACATCTAGCACAGTACCTTTAAACACAACAGACTAGGAGACATTTGGTCCCTTTATTACAGCCTCCATCTTCTGCTCACCTCGATAAACCCATCTCCCCCAGCAGAAAATGCATTTTCTCAGTGAAATACACCCATGGGATACCTGACTGCAGAGCTAGAACTCAGTTGTGAGGCATCAGGAATATCTTACCCGTGTCTGTGTATTACTAGCTCTAAGAAATGGACCAGTTCCAGCAAAGGGAGAGAAGAGAAGTTGGGAGAGAGAGGGGAAACGAGAGTCAGAGTAAGAAGGAGACAAAAGGTGAAGACTGGTGCTTAGGCAGGATAGCGGTAAATACTTCTCTCTAGGGATGCGAAGGAGAGAGCATGAACGTGAAACGGATGTTAAGGCAGAATCGCTTTGGGCAAACCCCTACCTTGGGCTGATTTCTCTGCCATGGTTCCCTTCTCTGCAATGCAATGAGGGAAACAAAGAACAGAAACCTCTGATTTCCATTGAGGTTTCTTTCTCCCCCACCCCCTCCTCCCTTTTGCTCTGCTTAGCATCTGCTTGTCAGACTTTGTTCCCTCAACTAAGCTTCATCCTCATTTCCACTTGTCCTGTCACCACCCCTCATGCCAGTTCTCTTACCGATAGTATGTCCTGGTGCAGTCACACCTGTCCCGCTCCCGTCTGGTGTTGGGTGAAAAGGTTGCTGAACTTTGGTTCTGATGATCCTGGAAAAGAGAAAAACATGTTCAGAACTAAACTGCAACTTCTCTGTGCCTTTGCATACCCGCGATCCCAGCTGTCAGAACCTGAAGGCCCAATTTGAGCTCTGGGTGCAGCAGAGTGGCTTCATTTGTCTTCTCGTGGTCCTGATTCTACTGCTGTAATGGTCCAGTTCCCAAAGAATTGTCCTTGCTCTGCTTTGTCGTCTTCTCCCCAAACTTGTGTATTCACTGCCTAACTATGGTGCTCGGTGAACGAGCTAGGATCTCCTGTGTGTTAGCCACTGCATTATCATTTATGATCTGATCTGTCAGCATGATCACAAGGCAGTCTTTGCAGCTAACAGAGCCACTGCTGGATTTACAAATGGTGTAGATTTAATTTTGTTGTGTACCTAAAAAATACCTTTCTGGCATAGAACTGAATGCTTTGAACTGGTGTAAGGCTTGCCCAAAGCCCTTGCCCTTCAGAAATGAGAAGGTGGGAGCAGAAGGCATCTGTAGGAGGTGGTGATGGGATATAGATCACCAGGAAAAAGAAGCTCCAGCAAAGAGGGCAAAAATTGGTGTTTATCAGGTGGTGAATGAACACAGCATGGGAACTCAAAAAGGTGCCTCAGTGAATGCCGCAAAGCTCATAATGCAGCTCAGAATGAAAATAAACTGAACTGTAATTGTCAGTGCTCCGTTTCTTGTTACATGAAATCTTTCACCTCTAGGTCACTGGTTTAAATCCAGCTGAGGTCAGTGGTGAAAGAAAATCACTAGCACCTAGTACTTGACTGACAGGGTCCCTGCCTACTGGCAGATGCTGGGTATCTGTGACTCAGGAATGACTGTCTCACCAAGGAACTCGGCAAATAAGCCATGACCTGCGGAGGCCATGGAGACCAAATTCCTTTCTGAGATTAAAATGAGCCTCTCCAATTAGGGTGAAGACTGCAGATGCTCTTCAGCCTGAGTTTCTGGAACTCTCAGCCCTGCATTGTATTAGCTTTAACTTCTCCCCAAAAATCTCTCCAGAAAGTGAAAGCAAATAACACATTCTTGCTGCCTACCCGAGAGCTGCCCTTAAAGATTCGTTCTAAAGAATAAGTTGGCAAAACTTCAAAGAGCAAATGTGTGTCTAGTGGGTGGTATGGCATGGATAGCGATAGGCAGAGACGTTGAGAGGTCATTTTTGAAAAAGCCCAACTCCTGAGAGTGAAACCTTCTTAGGAAAAGAAAAGTATTTCAGAGCGTATCACCTCAGCACGTTAGGAAACTCCGATATGCACATGACGAAGCCTGGGCAGTAGCTGGAGTGGCAGAGAGGCTGCCTGGGACAGAGCTGGAGACAGGGAATGTCAAGGTTCCAGCTGGGGATGGAGATCCAGATCCTCACCCCATATAGGTCAGTGGTACCAGGGGCCCTAATCTATAGCTGCTGAGGACCTATACAGAAGGTGTCTGAGGGCCTCAGGCCAGATTCTGAGGTCATGCTGATTTGCACTAGCTGAGGAGCTGATCTGAGAAGTCTGTGCTAGGGCAAATAATATAACTTTTTTCTTCTTTTCTGTTTTTTTCTTTTCTTTTCTCTTCTCTCACATTCCCCCTAAAACCCCCTGAAGTGCCACTCCGGTTGTGTGAGTTTATTGATTTCCCCCAGCCCAGAGAAACAGAAAGAGGGGATGGGGTGCAGGCAAAGGGATGGAAATAGAAAGCTATAAATTATTTGTGACAGGAAAGCAATAGTGCCAGAGTGCTGAGCACAAGTCCCGTGTCACTATTAGATTCCTTTTAGCCTGATGACACTGTAAAAGAGGTTAAGTGTCTGATGGAATCGTACACCTTGGGGGCAGGGGCAGTCCAGGAGCAGAACAAGCCACAGAGAGCGGGTATATCAATTCTCCAGGCCAATAATATTCCCCTCATTGATCGCAACACAAAGTTCAAAAATCTCATTATAGCCAGGCAGACCTGGAACTTTTTAAAAATCAATAGAGTGATATAATGTATGTATACTTTGTATAAATGTATCTATCCATCCATCCGTCTATCCAAAATCTGCCTGAGGGTGTCTAAGTTAACCTACACATTATACTGTGTTATGTTCTATCGTAGTGTAGCACAGTGAATGGATTAGAAGATTTCCCCTGCAGCCTTAGATGACATATTATAAAATGTCCTGTTAGCACTGAGGTGACATCAGACGGTTCCATTCATACTGAGATGTGACATCAGATTCGCCATTCGTACTGGGAGGTGGCATCAGACGGCTCAGCTTCTACTGAGGGGAACCGTAAGATGAGCCTAATTATACTGCGATGGCCGATCAGGCTGTGCTGAATCATGCTGCATGAAAATTGCAAAGTTTCGAAAAGCTATTTAGAGTAAAAACAGCCTGTGAAACGACGGCGGTATAAAATGCCTATCCATAACTCTTCAAAAACCCAGGCAGGGGATGAACAGGAAGGTTCAATTTCCTTCCCCGTTCAGTTATGTTCTCTCGGCTGAGAATGCCAGTTAGTGCCAGTTGTGACTGTGATTACTGAGATGTGTCCATTAGGAGCTGGAATGAGACTCACCAGCTCATTCCACCAAGTAGCCGTCAGCCGGTAATGATTTTTGGTCACTACCAACCAGGGCCAGATTTCAGCTAGTGACCCAGAAGTGAAAGGCTCTGTTCAAAAACGTTCCCCTCCTAAGAATGAAACTGGTTTTATGTCAAGAAAAAGTGTCTGGAAACAGTGAGCAAAGGGGAGCCATTCTGGTTGTGCAGCCTTCAGTGACTTGGATCAAATAATTCTTGGCATCAAATGCACAGTGGATCTAATGAGGTCTCAGGTAGAAGGTACTTCCTATGGCTAAAAGAAGAGGCGAGTCATGAAGAGGCTCTCCCCAGCAGTGCCCCTTTGCCCTACAGTCACGACCGAACTCCCGTGTTGTAAGGAAAGAAGAGAAATTTCAGGACCCTAACGCTCAGTACAGAATACGGCAGTGCATCTCTCGGGTCGATTCATTTAGGGACAGTGATATACAGCAGGATAGCTAGGCATCACTGCTACTGCTTTAAGAGGCTTCGAGCGAGTCTGTCCTACACGAGACCACCTAATGAAACAGCAGATGAAAGATGAACAGAGCTGACCTGGTCCTGTAGCAACAGATGCAGCATAATAATGCTGTCTTTAAACTTTGGGATTGCTGAAAGCTTCTCACCCTTACCGGAGACTGAAATAAGCACTAAGCCAGCTCTGCTGCCTCAAACCTAGGATTTCTGGATTACTGCTGTGTAAGAGGGAGCAAAACCTTGATCACCTCTTTCTGCCTTTGATGGCTTGTTCTTGCTTCTAGACACTGGAGAAAGACAAGCCTTTTTACAGAACGCTTCCTCAGCCCTTCCCAAAAGCAGAAGGGACACAAATCCTGGCACACCAGTCAGCAGTGCTGATTTCTTGAAGTAAATCCCAATATCTTCAAACATCCTTCTTTTCTCCAAAAGAAATTGTCACTTTGGACTAAATTCATCCCTGCTCTGATTCCATCACAGTCAGTGGCTCCAATAACAGCATTTGTCTTTAATTAGGGGCATAAACTGGTATTTACTGTAAATTCCCATTTTTCATTTTCCAGTGGAAGGTTTTTGCTGAGTTTCGGAGAACATACACAGATTTAATATATAACCTTCTGAAGTTTCAGCAACAGGACATTTATAGATCTTTGATTGCAGTAAAGCAACTGAACTTCATTTCACAATCTGAATTTAATATGCGATATTATCTTAAGTAATGGTATATAATGTCATTACAGTACGTAGTATCATACTGTGAATTATACATCCATTCCTGGAATTCATGAGTTACCATAGTTGGCTTGTAGTAACTCTTTCTAGAGTTAATACTGCACACAGCTCCAGCTGAAACCCACGGCCTGTTTCCAAATGCCTTCGACTTTCTTAAACGTTCAGCATTAGATCATGAATTCCCAATGCTTGACTTCTACTTCATTATTTTCAGCAGTTTTAATGCCGTTCCTTTTGCTGGTTCTGAAGATAGATGGACAGACAAAAATCATCTCTCCTAGTATGAAAATTGTAACAAGCTCTAATCAAATTTGGTCAAGAATGTAGAAAGAAATATTCAAAGTTAAAATTAGCTGAGCCATAGTCCTTTTTGAGAAGCAGAACTTTCTTTCACTCCTTGTAAATAAGCAAGTAAAAAATCACTTCTAAACCTGTCCAGAAATTATTTGCTGAAAGAATGACAGATCATAGGAAACGTCCCTCGCTTCTCTGACATTTCTATCCAAACTCTCTCATAGCCTGACATACTCTGTGGTTTCTCCTCTCTTACTGTTGCTGGCAGAGTCTTTAGACAGTATCTCAAATAAAAAATCGTACTAGGGCTGATCGGAGGGAGATGAGGTAGGTCTGAATCATCTGGAGTCCCAATCTAGCAATTCTTTTAATCCTGGAA